TCAGCCAGAATGCACCATTCTTCACGGCACAGTCCCTCATTTCTTCCCTTGGCTAAAGGAGGTAGTTCCCCCACCCCTTGTGTTTCCTGGGTGAGGCAACACCCCACCCAGCTTTAGCTCACCCTCCGTGGGCTGCACCCACTAACCATTCCCAATGAGATGAGCCATGTACCTCAGTTGGAAATGCAGAAATCAGCCACCTGCTGCATTGATCTCTCTGGGAGCTGCAAACCAGAGCTGCTCCTATTCTGCCATCTTGACAGACACCTAAAGTTTATTTTATGACCCAGAATAAGATCTGTCTGGGTATATGCTCTGTGGACACTTGAAAAGAATGTGTATTCTGTTGTACGTGGGTGTAGTGTCCATTACAGTAATCTAATGTCCATTAGATTAAATCAGTTGATAGTGTTATTCAGGCTTTGTGTATCTTTGCTGATTTTCTATCTATTTATGAATTATTGAGAAATAAAATTTTGAAATTTCCTAATTGTAACTGAATTTTTCCATATATCCTTTTAGTTCTATCAGTTTTTGATTTATTTATTTTGGATCTTTGTTAGTTGCATAGTATATTTGACTGTTTATCTTCTTGGTAAATTGACCTTTTTATCATTATAGAATGTCCCTATAATCTATCTATATCTTTATATTTAAAATAGGTTTCCTTTAACCACAGAAAATTTCAGAAGTAATTTTTTTGAATAAATTTCCTGTCTTCTACCTCCCCCAACACCTCCAAATTGCCTCTCTTGCTGTCTCCCATCTCAGTTAATGGCCTGTCAAACTTTCCATTTGCTCAGGTACAAAACCCTTAGAGACATTCTTAACTCCTCTATCTATTTTACACCCTCTTTCCAATGTCAGAAAATATAGCCTGTTCTTCCTTCAAATGATGTTCAGGGTCGGCCCACTTCTTACCATCTCTGCCACCTGGTCTGAGCACTATAGCCCTCACCTGGCTTGTCCCTGCATCTTCATAACAGATATCCCTGCTTCCATCCTTGTTCCTCTGCACTCTGTTATCAACATAGTCCCCAGAAAAAATCCTGTTAAAACAGGAGTCACACCAAGTCATTCCTCCATTTAAACCCTCCAAAGGCTCCCATCACAAACACAATATAAGCCAGAGTCATCACAATGATCCATAAGGTCCTGGACGATCTACTGCCCCTTTCTCTGCACCCTGCAGACCTCTGTTTTCATACTGCCTCCACTTCTGCGCCCCCACGCTGCTGCCTTGCTGCTTCAGAAAGGAGGCTGCTGCTGCCCCCTCAGAGGTCATGCACAGGTTCCCTAGCTCCTCTCCTGCTTTTGCTCTGGGCATCTTCCCAGCAGGGCCTACTAGATCCCCCACCTCAGTGTGCACGCCCTCACCCTCCAACCTTCTATCCCCTATTTCACTTTCATTTTCTCCTGGCTCTTCCCCCATCCTGACACCCTGGGTGTTTTCCTCCCTTATCTCCCTGCCAGCCCTCTCTGGAATGTGAGTGCCATGCCAGTATGTGTGTGTTCATGTGTGTGTGTGTACTGGGGCAAGGGGGTTGACAGGTTTGTTTAAGGCCCCACTAGCTGCACATAGTCAGAACTCAGGCAACATATGGTAAGGGGATGAATTTTCCACTGGCTTTGTCCTCCTCTATACGTTGTGAGGGAAGAAGCTGCCTCTTCTTATGGGTGCTTTCCCGTTGGTGCCCAGTGGAGACCCTTCCACAGCCTCTCATGGTATTTGTCAGACGAATGAACAAACAAAAAGAGAAATGAACACACTGAAGAGCTCTGTTGCAGCCGCGGCTGGCCTGGGTTGTATATGTCATCTTCTTCCAGAAGCCATGGTCCTCCTCAGTGCCTTTTAAAGCAGGCCACACGTGGGGACTTTGGCTTCACAGGGTATGGCCTCCACTCATCTGCCCGGGGAACTACCCTGCCCACAAGCCCAGCCATTCTCTCCCACCATGTCCTTCTAAATGCTTTCTCTTGCACCCCGAGGCCCCTCCTGATAAGCACGTGGGCCCTCCAGGCCCTCTCTTACTCTCAGTCACTTTTCCATCTCCAGCCTCACCCGCCATGTGCCTGGTGAGTCAACCTGGGAGGATGTCTCCAGAAGTCTGCCTTCAGCTTCTGCCCTTCGGCAGAGTGAGGGCCAGAACACCTCTTCCAGAAAGTTCCCTGACCCACTCCTTTTTAGTGTGGGAACTCAGTCCCTTTTGTTTCCCCCTTAGCACCCCATACTTACCTATATTGTGTTTCAGTGCCTGCCTCACTTGTATATCCTCCTGCCGGACTGCGAGCCCTTGAAGGAAGGAACCAGGCCCCCTCTTTCTTTGTATCACAATGCCAGACCCAAGAGGAAGCTCAGGAAGCACTCACTGACTGATTGACTGGATAAATTTATTTAATAGAACCCAGACCATGTTCTGTGATAATAAATCTTTATATTTGTGTAGCAATTTGCAGTTTGCAAAGTAATTTCCTACTCATGATCTTATTTTGACCTCCAACAACTCTGCAAAAATAGCAACTCATTTATTCATTTGTTCCTTAACTCATTCACTGATCCTGTGTCAGGCACTGTTCTAGGCACTGAAATGCAGGTACAAACAGAACAGACAACTATGCCTGCCTTCATGGAGCTTACCTTCCTGCAGGAGGGACTGTCATGCCTATTTTACAGATGGGCAGACAGAGGTTAGTCCTGGGAGGCTAAGCAACCTGGGCAAGATCACAGGGCATGCAGGTAGAAGACCCCCCAGTCAGGATCAGGGCTGTCTGATTCCAAGTAGAGGGAAGACATTTTTCACCACAGTTGCTTTAGGGATTATGGGCTTATCCATAAGGCATCTTTTATTTTTTTCCAAGTTAACAACAAATAAAAGGAAACTTGGCAGAAATCCACACCCTGGGACTACCTTGGAACTCCTTCCCTTGTCTGATGTATGTGTTTAACAAAGATGTGAGAAATACCTGCCAGGTCTCTTCTTGCTGGAGCCGAGAAGACAGAAGCCACCCAGCATTGTGAGCACGTCTGCTTGTGTGCAAACCCGCAGGCATTTTTAGCAACTTTGGGGAACATAAAGAAAGCTGTTGGTTTTGTTTGCACATATTTTTCGCCTCTGCAGAAGGCTTCTCACCAAGCGGCAGCCTCAGAATTGCCTTTTATTTGATCTTAAGACACAGAGTCTTTACAGCTCACTAGCTGAGCTATAGTTGGCAAACTGCTTAACCTGCTCTAACTTCTGTTGTCGGGAAAATGGATCTGATAATAAAGGTCTCTGTCTCTCAGAGTGGTTGTGGTAATTAAATTCAGAAGTGCCAGCCTGCCTGTGAAGGTTTGAGGCTGGAAGGAGGCAGCTTGGGGAGGAGAAGGCCTTGTTAGAATCTGCAGAACCTGGGATTCCAGTCCATCAGCTGCAGAACCTTCACTCCTCCAGCTTCAGTTTCCCTCATCAATGGGAATATTAGTACATATCCCAAAAGCTTGTTATGAATGTCAGCAATAATGTATACATTGTGTCCAGCACTGAGTCTGCACATAACTATTGTCTAGTAAATGTCACGGGGGTGTGCGTTATCATCATCATCATTACTGTTATTTGTGCGTGGGTGGTAAGGTCAACAAGGATTTTAGAAATTTGAGACTAAATCTGTTGAGCCAAGTATTATGTCTTATGTATGCCTGTATGCCTGATGCTCAAAACGCTCCCCAGCAGTTGACAACTGCTCAGTAAAGTCTGAAGAACTGGATTAGATGAAGGAGGAGGAGACCAAGTCCCTCAAAGTGCTCAGGCTTGAAAAAGAACATGTGTTTACTGCATATTTACCACACGGCACACCTTTGTCTTTACTTGTGTTTGTTTCTCGTAGAGACTCACAAGGCAGGTATCATTATTATCCACATTTTACGAATTAGGAAACTGACACTAAGTCATCAAATGACCTGCTCAAGGTCGCACTGTTGGTGGGTAGCACAGTGAGGGCCGGAACCTGAGAGAGTCTGACTCCTGAGTCCACACTCTTAATGACCTCTGCCCTGCACTGCCAGGAAGGGTTCTGGTTTGAGGTTTCCTCTTCTTCTAACCTAGTTGACTTCCTGGCCCTCTGGTTGTTTTTGATGTTCCATGCCAGCAGAAAGAGCAAACCTTCTCTCTCCAAAGCAGCTAAGCAAGTGATCTGCATGAACAGCCCATGTTACTGTTTTGGTGTGTTTGTATTTTAATTTTCCCCCATAACAGTAGGCACTGGAGGTGAAAAAGGAGGCAGCCATCAGCTATCTATCTCCCAGGAGGGGATCACCTCCTGGGCAGTCCCATCTCCCTGGAAGCAGATGTTGCTTCCTGCCACCACAGGGCAGAGGGGTCCCTACCCATGCCTCTCTCCTGGGAAGCAAGCCCTGGAACCCAGAGCTGAAGGAGAGGACAGACTGAGTAAACCTCCCCCACGACTCCCTACCAGAGGCTGGGAATTAGGAGATGCCAAATCCCACCTCTGCTCCCAATCCTGCAGCTGCTTCCTTTAGGACATCACAGTGGATATTTCCAACAGCCTTCTGTGCCACCTCATATTTAGCTGTAGAATGATGGCTCCTCAGTGCAGAGAGGGGAAGAGGCTTGCCCGCAGTCACACAGCCATCAGTGGAGGAACCAGGACTGCCATTTTCCTCATTCCCAGGCCCACGATCCCTCTATAGTGTGATACCGGGGCTGGAGATCAAGCGCCAAACGAGTTGTTTTAAGGACTCTATCAATTCTGTTTTGGAGTGGCATGATAGATACATGGCAGCTCAGAGTTCCATTTCTAAAGTCAGAGCAGCCAGAGTCTGAATTTTGGCACTGCCCCTAGTCTAGGGACTCTGGGCAAGTCACATAATGTCGGTGAGCCTCTAAGTGAAGGAACAGGTACCCCTGCCACACAGGCTGCTATGAGGATTAAATAATTGAGTTCATATAAAGCCCTCAGACCACTTCTTGGCAAACAGAGAGCTGTCCACACATATTAGCTTTATTTGTTCCTTAATTCTTCAAACATATATTGGATACTAAAATGGCCATTTTGCAATAAGTCATTCAATATTCACAACAAAGCTCTAAGGAATTAAGATCTCCATTAAAATAGATGGACAAACACAATGTTAGAAAGGTTAAGTGACTTCTCCAAGGTCTTTTGGTTAGTAAGTGGAGGCCTGGATTCTCTGACTCCAGAGCCTTATTTTCTATGCTAGTTCATGGAGGTATTTTGTATTGTTTCATTGTTTTGTTGTGTTCTAACACAAGGGTGAGGTAGATGAACTAATATTATCTTACAAACTGATATAAAATGCACATGTGTGAGATTCCTGTTATTCTTATTAACTACCACAGTGCCTACCTTCTCTCCAACTTTGGTCTACTTAGCATCTGCCTCATTAAAAATATATATTCCAAGGCCCTGTCTCCAGATTCACTGAACCAGAGTTTCTGGGTACAGAGCTGTTTATCAAGCTCTCCAGATGTTTCTAAAGTACACTTAAGTTTGGGAACCACTGCCTTTGGAAGTCAATAATCCAGTAAGCACTGCTTGACTGGAAGAGGGAAGACAGTTTTCAAAAAGCAAAAGTCACACAGATAGCAAGCTTAAAAAGCCAACTTATGTGTCAGTATCAGGTATGACCAGGAGGGATGGGAAGAAGAGAACTCAGGATGCCAAGAGCAGAGCGGGCAGATCTAGTGATCTCCAGTTGCCCCAGGTGTAGTGCCAACAGGGAGTTCAGGCCGAGAGTAGTAAATATCAATCAAAGTATTTTGGCAATGCTGACAGAGGTATCCCCAGGGGCAAGGAAAACACCATGTTATCAGGTCTCACAGCAGGTGATAGGAATGGCCAGGAAAGAAGGTAGCAGGGACCAAATTCTAGCCTTCTGGGAAACTGACTGGAGGAAAAGGTAGGTAGTGGGGCTCCCACAGAGTCCTGGTTTGCATAATAGAGATTTAACAAGATCATCCTCATCAGGCAAAAGACCAACTTGCAAGTTCAAGGCACAAAGTCAGAAGGGGGCTAAGAAGAGGGAGAACTTGATTCTAATAGCCCAGCAAAAGCCCATGGGATAAGGACAGTGGAGTGTCCATGGTGGAAACTAAGTGGTCCTATCAGGGCTGCAGCGGGAGGGGGTCAGGAATTTATAACACACCCGGTTAGTCATTCCTTCAAGCCTGCCACTTACCTGCCACACACTGGGACCTATTTTGATCCTGGTCCTGCCATGAGCCCTGTGACTTCAGTCAAGCCCCTTTATGACTCCAGGCCTCATTCTTCCTCTGATTCATGAAGGTCCATATGTAATGACTCTAATCAAGGTCGGTAGCAGCTCTTGCAGCTACCTCCAAGAGTTTCTGTGAGAATTAACTGTAGACATGCACCATATAATGATGCTTCGGTCAACAACATATCACATATATGACAATGGTTCCTTAAGATGATAACACTGTATTTTTACTGTACCTTTTCTATATTTAGATACACAAATACTTACCATTGTGTCACAGTGGGCTACAGTATTTAGTACAGTAACATGCTGCACAGGTTTGTGGCCTAGGAGCAATAGGCCATACCACACAGCCTAGGTGTACAGTAGGCTCTCCCATCTAGGTTTGTGTAAGTACACTCTATGATCTCACGACAATGAAATCTCCTAATGAGGCATTTCTCTGAACATATCCTTGTTATAAGTGAGGCATGACTGTACTATATCTATGAATAAGCCAGAACCTTTACACATTTTTTTTTACAGTGGAGTCTTGCTCTGCCACCAAGCTGGAGTGCAGTGGCACAATCTTGGCTCACTGTAACCTCCACCTCCTGGGTTCAAGCAATTCTCCTGCCTCAGTGGCTAGGACTACAGGTGGTGGCCACCACACCCAGCTAATTTTTGTATTTTGAGTACAGACAAGTTTTCACCATGTTGGTCAGGATGGTCTCAGTCTCTTGACCTTGTGATCTACTCACCTTGGCCTCCCAAAGTGCTGGGATTACAGGTGTGAGCTACTGTGCCCGGCCTACATATTTTTTGAATTTGTTATCTTGTTAGTTTCTATCTGATCAGTATACACCCATCTTCCTTCCATCCCCAAGCACAAACAGAACACATGTGTCTAGTAGATTTCAAGCTAATGTTTCTCCTACTGGCCAGCCTGACTTGCCTGGGTTCTGTGACATGGATGACAGCAGAGAGCTCTGCTGGGGGCCTGAGAACCTCATCTTGTATTCATGCAACAACAGAGGGGAAAAAAAGAAAAGGAAGAAGGGGAACAAGAAGGAGGCACCAAACACACAACATTTCTTGATGGGGTATCCAGGTCTCTGTGGAACATAGGAGCACTCTATGCAAGTGACCAACTCTAGGAGACAGGCCACATGGAAGTACTTGATTAATCTGGAAATTTATGAAATTATGGGGCAAACTAATCTGCTCACCCAACAAATACTAGGAGAAGGAAGGAAAGCTAATATATTTCCAGGCTAAACAGCAGCAAAAGGAGGGGGTAAAGATTTGCCTGTGTGGCAAAAATGACTGAAATTTTAGAAAGACTTAAATCCTGGACAGATAAAAGGGTATCTTGGATAGCCGTGGTGGCTTATAC